TCTTGTGTGTGCAGGGCATGATGATTGCCTGGGAGGTCACAGCGGGAAGGATAATGACAGAGAGGAATCATCTTAAAGACGAGGGTGCCAGCTCCAACTGAACTCTGGTCTCAGCACTGTGGATTTACACAGTGCTCCCCACCCCAGTGCCATTGCCAGGCAGCTCCGACCTACAAGGTTAGGAGGCTGAAGCCCAGAAAGGCTCGCTTCCCAGCTCAGGTCTCTCCAGATGTGCATGATAGAGCTGGGGCTTAAACCCAAGTCCAGGATCTGTACTCTGAGCTGCGCAGCCTGAGCCTCTGTGTTTAGCGAACAGAGACAGAAACAGAACGAGAAGCAGATTGTCTGCACAGGGTCAAAGAGTGGCTGGCCCAAGTCCCAGGGTTGCCCCAGCAGGTCCTGTGCATGGTGGCCTGTGTGTACCATGGAGGACAGATGGGGCAGGATGTATTTTGCCAGGTGTTTCAGAACAGTGGATGAAAAAGGATGTGCTTCCTCTAGGCAGTGGGGAGGAGGGAGGGGCTAGTAGACTCCCCTTCTTTGGGATGGTGGGGACTGCAGGGTGCTGGCCAGCCTGGGCTGCATACTGGAGTGACTGTCCAGCTGGAGTCCTAGAAGTTGCTAGGGGAACACCTTGCCCCAGTGTGACCCTGGCTACCTTTCTGTGAGGAATCCCCCTGGGGACCTGGCTGGTCCGATCGCTAATGTGATGTGTGAGCTGATCACAGAGTGAGCATGAACCTGTCACCTGTTCCTACGGAGCAGGGACACTGGCCATGGTGTTCAGCATCTGTTGTCCCTTGGTATGTGTGATATGGTATGAGGGAAGCTGTGTTTGCACAACCTGGCTTTCTTCTCTTGGGAATGTCGGGTGCAGATTTCCAGGGGCTGGGAGCACTAGGGCACAGGGTGTGTGGGGCAGCTGAGTGTGTGGATTGGGGGAGGGCTGTTTGCTCCAGCGCTGGGTGTCTCTGGCTGATAACATGGCAGGTCAGCGCTCCCTGAGTACACAGACACTTGCCAGGAAGCCACCTCAACACCTCCCTGTCACGAGGTGGGCAGCACACTACAGGGTGGGAACAAAGATGAGTGAGCTCAGCTCCAAGTCCCTCACATTCACAGCTCATGGTCAAGGGGTGGAGGGGGGGACGCTCATAATTAGGGCCATCAGGAGCAGAGATGGGAGAAGCTGGGGTGGTCTCACAGAGGTGACTTCAGCTGAGCCACAAGCACAGGAGATGGCTACAGGTGAAGCCCAGCCTGCGGGGCAGCCAGGATACTATTGGCCAGTGTCCTGGTTTCCCACAGATGCTGGGATTTGGTGGCAGCCTCTAACATCCCCTGAGCTGCTGACAAACTCTGGCCAGGGTGTCAAACAAGGTGCCCATGTATGCTGTGGTGGCTGCCTCTGTCCCCACCGTCTCTTGGGTGGGCCTCAGACCCTGTGCCACCCCTGCAGATGGGCCTAGCTTGGCAGGACCTAGCCTTGGCCCCAAAGGCTAGGTGGAACAGGTGAGGACATGTGATCCTGTTCTTTCTCCCTCTCTGCAGCAGGCTCCATGCCAAGTCCCGTGTGTCCCCATTTGCCATCAGTCGGGAACATTGGAGCTTACTGTCCCCACCCCTCCTCTTCCGCTCCTTAGAGCTGGCTCAGCCACTGGCATACTGCAAGCTGACTAAATTGCCCTCAATTCTGGGTCAGGGTAGAACAGTCAGTGACACCCAGGCCACCATTTCCATCCCTACATGCCTGGACATGTCCCTGTCACTCTGAGGACACAGGCTGAATTCTTCCAGGTGGTTCCATGAGATGCCAGGCGCCATGAGAGGGGAGGGGAAAGTCACGTCAAAGAAATAGTTTGGCCCCGCCGTTCTTCCCAGCTGTCTACACCTGTCCTCATTCTGAAGTGACTTCCAGATCACCAAGCCACTCAGGAGCACCCTGCTCCTGCGCTAAGTGTTCACAGTCTGTGGGGCAGGGACCTTCTCAACCCGTCTCACCAGTGACAAAGCTGAGCTGTGGGGGAGAGGAGCAATCACTTGAGGTCATTGGGAAGTAAGCTGTGGAGTGGGGTCAACACTTAGTATCAGGCTCTAGAGTCCAGCCACTGTCCCCAGACCCAGAGGGCACATGGAGCTGGCAGGGGACAGAGGCAGCACAAGACACATTCTGGGAAGGTGGCAGAGAGGCCCTCCTGCTGGAGAGGCTCTGCAGCCCAGGGAGGACGGGGAGCTGGGGGGGGCGAAGCGAGCTGTGCTCAACTTGTCCTTAGCCGGAGGAGCACTGGGGTTGGGAGATGTGGGTGCCCGGCCGGAGCGGACCGCCGGGAGGAGGGGATGCCTGGCCGCCGCCGCCCAGCAGCAGCAGCAGCAGCCGCAGCAGGAGGAGGAGGGCAGGCAGGGCCGCCGGCCGCAGGGGCTGTGCGCGGGTAGCCCCGAGCTGTGGAGCAGGGGAGTCTGACGCCTCTTTTCCCTCCACTCTCTTGGTCTCTTTCAGTTGGAGGAGGACAGACTCTCGGGGCACTCCCTCCCGCGGTACAGCCCCCTGCGACGACTGGCGTCCTCCGTGTTCTCCTCCTCCACGCTGGAGACAGAGCATTACCCTCACCCCGGCGGCTCGGCGGGCTCCTCCGGCTCCCTCATTCAGCGCAGCCGCTCGGCCGAGAGCAGCCCCGTGCGGGCGCCGCACCGGCGCCACGCGCCCCTGGCCGCCAGCAACCACAGACTCGTGCCCTCGGTGCTCCGCATCTCGCGGTCGCAGCTGCAGCAGGTGTGGGCCCGCTTCACCCACAAGACCTAGGCGGGCCCCCCATGCAGGGGACAGGTGGGGGGGCGGGAGCA